CTGGAGAAGAAGAGGATAAAGAAGAGGAAAGGAGAGTCCATGGCACTTAATGAAAAACAGATCCTGGAGAAAGTCAACAGCAGATTTGTGGTAAGCATCTCGTTCAAGTTTTCCATGTAAAACTACTAGTTAGTAGAAAATTATAGTATATAACCAGAGTTATCTTTTAATGTTAACATTTTAGAATGTGTTTTTGTTCAACAAACAGCCTTTCTAACATCCAAAAATAGACATTTGTAGAGCACTTTGCATATTTCCACGTCAGTTTGCTCTCTGTGTGCATCAATCGGACGTGATGTCTGCAACATTAACAACTGCAGTAATTAAAAGACAACATGGAGGTTTGTTCTGTGTCTGGTTTGTTTTGAATCTCTTCCAAATGACCTAAGTTCAGCATCGTGAATTTGGACTCGTTCGAGCTCCCAGAACTGAGGAGTCCCTTAGGACTCAAAGACACTTGAGTGTCAAAATGCTGTCAGACAACTTTATTTAACAGCAATTAATTTATAAATTTTGGCAGCAGGTTGTGTGTTTAGTTGTGTGGACGTGCAGGCATCAACGTTGTTAGCTTTCGGAATATCTCACATTAAAGGAAAGATTCACCTCAAAATTCTTTCATGCTTTCATTATTTTTGGGAGAGTTTCTTATTTTCTTCCACCACATTTCAGATGGGAATATTGTACTTCATTGTTTTCACTGATTCTAGCATAAAAAATACACTGTCGCAATCAGTATTTTATATTCACAATGGATCAATAGCTACTTAAAAGTAAAGGTGTTGCTCCAACTGACAAGCCCAGTGTTTTTAGCTCGTTGGTTCAGTCTTCCAGCCGATCAGTGTTGTTGTAGCTGACTCTTAGCAGACAGACAGTTAGAGACTATATTTGGTCAACATTGTGCAGCATTTAGCTGCTTATATAGCCAGATATTTCTCTCAGGATTTGGTGGAAACAGAGCTAAAAGAGATGTTATATATTGCTTTTACATTCATCAGATGGACAGAAACACGACTCCAAATGAATTCTAATGTTGCTAAATACTCACCATAACTTCATAAAGTGATAATATATGAGTATTGTCTTTACAGCTTATTCTGCTGCCCCCAAGTGGCCACAAACACAATTGATAAAAGTTTATTCTTCAATTGTGATGAAAGATTGATCTTGATCTATGATTATTATTATTATTATAATTGTTGTTATTATATTTATTTTGTTGTTTCTATTGTTGACTCTCTCCTGTGTCCACTCTAAACACTTGCAGAAGTGCTAGCCTACAACAAGTAAACTAGTATAAATAAAGTTTAAATTAAACCAAAACTAGAATATGGACTGCACTACATTTATCTGAAAGCTTGAGTTCCAACTATGGATTATTTTCATGATACATTTTTCTGATGATTGATGTTACAATAATAGATTAATCGATCTCTATTTCCCAGAATCCAAGGTGACGTCTAGCTTGTTTTTTCCAACCGACCAAATCCCAAATATATTCTGTTTACAGTAAAGCTGGAAATAGAGAATGTTTGATATTTTGGCTTGATTTATTAAAACAATATTTTTTTCCTGTTGATCAACTAATCAATTAATCTACTAATCATTTCAGCTCTACTACTGAAGCTCTATGGCTGCAGCTAGAAGTTGATTTTTCTTTATTTAAGAAGCATCACTGTATTTTAAACCTCTCAGCAACTGATATGTAGCAGTTAGAGCTGATCATAGCTGAAGCAGCCGAAGCGTTACCACGCAGCTTCCTCACTAACGCATCATGAACCCATGACCCTCCTCTGTCTCCAGGTGAGTTTAGCGTACGCCTACGAGACGAAGGATGCTCTGTGCCTTGTGTTGACCCTCATGAACGGAGGAGACCTAAAGTTTCACATCTATCACATGGGCGACGCGGGCTTTGACGAGAAAAGAGCCGTCTTCTACTCTGCAGAGATCTGCTGCGGGCTGGAGGACCTGCACCGAGAACGCATCGTCTACAGGTCAGCACGTTAGAACCTCACAGACATTTGTCTCATTGTCTTCACTCTCTCCTCGTGTTTCACTGGCTCTCCTATTTGTTCTCTTGTCACACAGGGACCTAAAACCAGAGAACATCCTGCTGGACGACCACGGTGAGTAACAGCCTCAAAGGAAAGATTCTCAACGTTTCTATGAAGGTCTGATCACCATTAAAGCTCTTGTCTCTAAGTCACAGATCAATGGGTTAAAAAAGACCAATGAGAACTACTGTTACCTGGCTCATTTGAGTGTCTTAAAAAGTTTGGACACTTATGTAAATACGGTACTAAGTGCTTAGTGTTCATTATCTGTTATCCATTGTAAATAAACTACCATAAATCCACTTGGAAATCATAAGAAAATGCAGAACTTTGGCTGAGAATCATCATGTTTTTAAGTTTTCTTCAGTGTCAAAGTAATGCAGTTATAGTTCTTTGCACATCAGTGGGTGCATTGCAAATAGGAACAGGAACCCACAACTAAACCCACAAACGGCACCAAAAGCATAACCTCTTTGATGGCAGTAACTATGAGACTGTTCTGGCAGAAAAGGAGTCAACTGTTTGTATTACAGCAGTTTGAGGTATAATTTCCCACTGTAAATCACCAGAGGGCGCTCTGACTCTGGTAGAACGGCCTGATCTAAAACCAGAAGCTTTCAGAGAAAAGAGTGAGAGTCTCTGCTGATCTGTTTCATCCCATATGACAATTAGATGTTATTTTAAAAAGATATATTGCAATCCCAGAAAGATGCAAGAAAGCAATGACTATTTTGAGCTGATGTGATAACATTAAATGAAATGACAAACATCTATGCTCAAAACCAGCCAATAAAGCCACAAATATCCAGTTGTTTAGTAAAGACTGCACTAGTTTTTTTGTGGGAAATAACAGCAGAATCAAGATGAATCTAACACCAGCAGAACTGTGGTGAATATATATTTAACATTCAGGAAGTTGAGAGAAATGTCACAAGCAAAAAGATACGGAATTTCCTCAGATAATGTGTCCGAATTTTAAAAGCACATCGTATGTATGTTTGCTGGCACATTATGCATCAAAGGAAACTAACAAAGCTCACTATCTCTTCAATGGAAGTGGTCTCAACACATGATGTTCTGATGCAGACGTTTTCATAAATCACAAGATACAGCACAAATGATCTGACGCCTTGCACAGATCAGCATGAACAATCTCACAGTTCTGTTCCTTTGTATGACTTTCAGTGAGATGTGGAGAAATCCAGTGATTGATTTTGCTTTTGTACGTTACTCCTTGAAAGACAAATAATACAACTACGAGAAAAGCACTGCTACAAAGAGGATTTTATTAATCATATCTTTTCAGTTTTTATATCAGAAAATATCTTCTCACATGAAACAAATGACTGTCAGTTGCAGCCCCAATCTGCTGAAAATAAAACTGGTGGTTTAAAGAACCAGAATTGATCAGATAAGAGAGAATACTCCTTGCTTTTTCTTCTATTACACAGACCTTCATGTGTTTGTGTTGTGTCTTTAGGCCACATCAGGATATCAGACCTGGGTTTAGCAGTCCATGTACCAGAGGGACAGACCATCAAGGGACGGGTGGGAACGGTGGGATACATGGGTAAGTAACTACTGATCAACTTCTACTAGTGAGTAGATACTATTTTTAGCATTGATCAGTGGGAGAAACAGCTCACTAAATGTTTTAGTGTTCTGTGTTTAAAAATTTACATTCAGCTCACTCTGCTGCCTACCTACTCTCCTCCAGCTCCGGAGGTGGTAAAAAACGAGCGTTACACCTTCAGCCCCGACTGGTGGGCGCTGGGCTGCCTGCTGTACGAGATGATCGAGGGCCAATCTCCCTTCCAGCAGAGGAAGAAGAAGATCAAGAGGGAGGAAGTGGAGCGGCTGGTGAAGGAGGTGGAGGAGGAATATTCCAGCAAGTTCTCAGAGGACGCCAAGTCCCTCTGTAAAATGGTGGGTGGATGCTTGAATGGCCAAATCCACTTTTATTTGCTCTGGTCTATAGATCCCATCTGCTCCATATTTGACCATACTCTAATGGTACACCTCTGTGTTTAAAAAGACTTAGTCCAAGTGTCTTTCTGTTTGGCTGCATTTCTTCTCTCACATCACACTTTATGTTAATGGAACCATAAGCACCCACAGCATGCGTATAAAAATCTGCTCAAGCTACATTTTGGTGATTTTTGGCTGACATGATGTTGATCAATAGCAAATAGATGGGGGCGGTCACACTGTAAAGTCAAGCAGGAATAAAGCTAAAAATGCAGTGAAAAAGTCTTTCTTCGGTTTTCTCTGCAGTTAGTTGCACAATCAATTAAAGTGTCGTAACTGTATGTACCAATTCCTTGTTGGTGTGCTAGCTTGCCCACTAAGCTTCCTGAAAAAAAAACAACACAAAGTTGTCTGGAAAAAAAAGTTAAATCTTGCTCAACATTCTTTGCAATTCAATGCATCATCAACCATCAACGCACTGACTGAGTTGGCCAATCAAATACGTGCAAGCTCACGTTCCTGATGGATGGCTTTGTAATGTGAACAGATTATTTCTGCTGTTGTAATAAAACAGCAATTGCATAAAATGATTGTTGATGTGATAACTTTTTGTGAATGTTAAATCCTGTCTAATAGAGTTTTAAACCACTGTGCAGTATTTTTGTATCCGCTCTGTTATGCAAATTAGACTTCGCCTCACCTGTACCTGAGACAATAATTCCCCACCTGAACACCTGCTTTTTCTTCAGACTTTCTCTTGAGTTTAAAACTTGTGTGTTTCTACTGTTTTTCTGTCCCCCTTGTTTATAACAGTGTTTTTTAACCCCCAGCTTCTGGCCAAAGATCCCACAGAGAGGCTGGGTAGTCAGGGAGGTGGAGCCTCTGAGGTCAAAGCCCACCCCATCTTCCGCTCCATAAACTTCAAACGTCTTGAGGCCGGCATGCTGCAGGCACCCTTCATTCCTGATGTAAGTCCACAATATATCACCTCAGACATTAGGTTCAGAGAACTTCAGGAAGGTTTGTGCTACAGAAACCTGAATTTTAGTGATAGTTGGTTTCCCAATTTTAAGAATGTACTACTGAAAACAATATACCAAAAACATTTATATTTTGGGAAATACAGTTCTTGAAGTTAGAAGTTAGATAGAATATATATCTGTGTATCAGTTTCATCCGTCCTCATTTGTGTCCAGTACAGAGATAGGTCCAGGAAGTATTACGACAGGTGTAACTAATGACATTAACTTTGTAACTTTGGTATTTTTCAACCTAGAACCTGTGACATGGGCTACAATGTAATCTGTGATTCAAAATGTGTCCATTAAAAGTGGCTTTCTTTTTACTACTGACTAGCTCAAATTGTGTCTCAAAGTGTCTGATAGCACTGTTAAAAAGACCCTACAGAAAAATGAAATGTTTTCTGTTCTTTTCATTTGATCCGGTCTGTGAAATCTCTTCTGTGGGCACAGGGTCACAGCACCTACAGGAACACCACGAGTCTCCTGAGTTTCACAACCTCTATCAGCAGCTCTCTCTCTCTCGCTTTCTTCTCGTCCGCTCTTAAATTTGTAGTCTCCTGCGTATTTTGCTGCTCAATTAAATACGGGCAGTCATCAAATACAAAGGCCTCATGCAAATTGGAGAATGATATTGATTTCTTCTACATAACCCTCAGCTCTGCTTTCTGCACACACAACACAACAAACTCTTCCCGGCCGGCGTTAATACGCTCATGTTTTCCACTGTCTTCCTGCAAGAGATTTCACAATGAGACTTCTCAGTGAGCGAAACTTGGTTAGACACACAGCGAATCATGTGAACGGAACAGAAAACATAAAATTTCTCTATAGGGTCGTGTTGTCAGACACCTATAATAACAATCAGAGCCAGTTAGTAGGAAGCACTTTTAATGTCTGCAAGGATTACTTTGTAGCTGTTTGGTGACTGCAGGGCTCTCACGCAGTACTTGTTGTCCCATTTATCACTTTGACACAAAATCACAGGAAAATATGGTCTGCAGTTACCCTTTAATAGCACAGCTGTGGCATTAATGAAAGCACATTTATAACTAATAACATCAATTATTGCGCAGGTGTAACTAATACATAAATAATATCAGAGGAGTTATTGATAGTGCAGGTGTAACTAAGTAATCATAGCATATCTAAATCTTTCATTTAACTTCCAGTGAGAAAGCAAACAAGCATATTTCCTCTTTCCTTTAAGCAAAGAGCTGGAAATTCAATCTTCTCCACAGCGGTGGAGTTAATTAATCTGATTAATAAGAATGTCTCATTATATGGAGCATGCTTAATTAACCTCAACAGTCTCTGTAACAGGAAGGATTCTCTATCTAAACAAAGAGATCTAAGGTAGTTTGGAGGGATTATGAAATGTATACCATATGCTCCTCAGTAGTGATGGTAGTGGGTGTGTGTGTGTGTGTGTGTGCTGCAGCCGCAGGCCATCTACTGTAAAGACGTGCTGGACATTGAGCAGTTCTCTACTGTGAAAGGAGTGGAGCTGGAGCCCAAAGACGAGTCTTTCTACAGCAAAGTGTCCACAGGCAGCGTCTCCATTCCCTGGCAGAATGAGGTGAGAGACATGTACTCAAAATAACCCACTTTCTGCAGAATGTATGTCTCTCTGTAACAATGAATGACAGAGGTGGCAAAAGCACATATATTCTTTACTTGAGTAGAAGTACAGATACAACTTCTTTACTTAAGTAAAAGTGAACAGGCTTTGAATAGTAATCAAAGTATAAAAGTACTCAGTTGGTTTCTCTGGAGGATCCTTCTGAAACTTCTGGTCTAATTATAATAAAATAATCGATAATTACCCTCAAATGCATTAAAACAAAAGTAACGAGCCTGTCTTGAAAATGTAATGAGTAGAAAGTACAGATATTTAAGTATTTGTTTTTTGTTACTTCCCACCTCTGCCCGCAGATGATTGAGACGGAGTGTTTCGCAGAGCTGAATGTTTTCCACCAGGACGGGACGGTTCCTCCTGACCTGGACTGGAGAGGACAGCCGTCTCCTCCACCCAAACAGGGACTCCTCCAACGGCTGTTTGGCCGACAGGTTAGTGGACTCCCCCTCACCTCACAGACATCATCATCCCTTTATATCCCAGCATCTGTGCAAACAGCTACACATCGGTTTGTTGGAAGTGGAACAGTTAGTCCCAGTTTGTGCTTCCCCTGCAGTCACTGTTTTTATATTGAAAGTATTGCAACTTAAAAAATGTGTTTTTGTTTATTGTTACGAGCTTGTTGAGCTTCACTGTGCAGAATGATGTGTGTGCAGTTTGTTTTCACATTAATCTACCGAAGGAGGAAAGTTTCTCTATTAAATATCAGTTACTTAGCCTCCAGTGCACAATGAGTGATATTCACTTCAGTGAAGTAGGGGACATTTTGTACAAATAGAAAAGTAAATTAACTTTTTGTGGAAAAAAGTTACTATTCCACGCAGAATATTCTTATATGTTAATAATTTAGTCATATAATAAAGAGAAAATAAACCGATTCATCCAATCTGACAGAAGACAGAAGAGTTTTTTAGTTTATTAGATGTTTTTGTCCATGAACAAAAAACATTAATCTCACAGAAGTACACATGTATTGGACCAGATTTAGTTACTTGTTAATTTCTGTCTGCAGTCACAAAGCAGTTAGATATAGAAACTAATACAATTATTGCAATTACTACAAAAAGTCTAAAATACAATAAATACTAGTTAGTTTAGTTTAGTTTA